CTTTTGGCACGGAATGTTTTAAAAAGCCTACCACTTAACCGGTTAAGAAGGAAGGGAATTCTAACGTTATCCGTATTATCGAACGCATGTAATTTTTGTATAACAATTACTTTTTTCTCTTACTCATTCAAAAATTTTTTTCTAGAATTAAAGAATACGCATTAATACTTATCTGCGAATTAGAGTCTTAATGCTGAGAACGACAAAAATTTTCAAAATTGAGATCTTTATTATTTCTTATAATAGTTTAATATGAATGCTCCAGAACTGTTACGTTATAAAAACATTTGCTTCATATAAAAGCTTTGCAATCTATATTTATGAAATAATAGTCCACTGACTAGTAGTTTGCACGAAGAAGCTATATGGAATTATTAAAATTGGATTTCGACGTACAATTAGAACGTCATTGTTATATGAATATTTACATGTGCAGGAGATATTGATGTAATAGTATGTAGTAATGTATCGATTACACGTAAATCGTGTATAAGTGTTATTCTCAATATGATCATTCGTCTTTACGATCTTCTTAAAGCTATACGATGGACAAAAAGTTTAAATTTGAATAGGTGCTATAGTCGATTAAATGTAGAGGCAGAGAATTAAGGATGTTCTATACATATTTTCAAAATGATAACAGAATTATGAAAAAATTGCTGATTATTCTAAATCACATTTAAAGATAATGCGATAAAGATGACGCTCTACTATCTGGATCATAAGTTATTATAGTAAATAGTAGTATCTTTTTAATTGTGCTCTAATAAAAATATATGGAAATGAATTATATAGAATGAATGATAGAAAGCTCAACTTTTTTATATAAGTACATTATGTATTCAGAATTATTTATGTAGAGTTACATTGCGATGCATGAACTAATTGTCCAGTAAATAAACAAAATACTTATTTGTTCCATATCTTTGTAACTAATCAGTGAATCGCAATGAAACATTGCATAATTTATTTTATGTAAATTTTCCAGGTACTTATAAAAGAAAAATGTAATTTGTATAATGGTAATAAGGCTCAACAAATTTAATACAAAAAGAGAAATAGAGCTACGAGCCAAGATTAATATAATATAAGGTGTAGTAAAAAGAAATCCATTATTTTGCATGAAATTGAAGGCTTTATTTAGTATAGTTAGAATGATCCGATTTAGGTCAAATATGCATCGTTTTGTTCGATAATTTGTTGCCATTTTGAAGGTAATTTCATTATGCCTCTCTCATAGAAACCCTCGTCCCTATTGGCAAAAAACTGGGACAGTTGATTTTCACAAGCTTCTCTTGAGTCGAATTTTTCACCAGCAAAATCATTTGCCATAGACAGGAACAGGTGGTAATCACTTGGAGCCAGATCCGGACTATAAGGTGGATGCATAAGAACCTCCCAACCAAGCTCCCGGAGCTTCTGGCGAGTCACTATCGATGTGTGTGGCCTTGCGTTGTCCTGATGGAACACAATTCCTCTCCTATTGGCCAACGCTGGCCGCTTCTTGGCGATTGCTTCCTTCAGACGGTCCAATTGTTGACAGTACAGGTCCGAATTAAG